TGGGATAAACAACCTTGCATTAGTACACACAATTCTTCAGAATTTTAGATACGCTGGTTTCTCATATTTCTCCATTTCAAGAAGGTAGATAAAACAACTGTTGCAGCAGTCACCTGGTGGTTTATGTAATACCCTCAGAGAGATCTTCATAATAAAGCAGCATTTTGCCATGACAGGACAGCCCAACCACAGCTTTTATAGTACGAGAAACACAGTACAAACTTGTCATCATCAAGATTGTACCCTGCTAGTAACAAGAGTAATAAATTAAATAAAGCAACTGTTCAACAGTTAAATGTATGTCTATTATGTTTGCTACATGAGATATGTCAAATTGCTGCAATTTTTTAAACGTATGTTCCTACATTGATTTTATTCACTTCAAACTTCTTTCTCCAGAGAGCAGTCTTTCTCCTAAATACAGCATGGTATCTTTACTCTTTTTCAGATGCTCAGATTAGACTTCAGGATTTTTCAAAACTGAATTATATGAGTTAAAAAAAAAAAAAAGACACCACTTCATGCTTATGCGAGCAGTTTAAGCTGCTGTGTGTGGAAACTGTTTAATAGCCAATGATAGCACCTCTTAGCAATCCCCAAGAAAAATGAGGTTAGTTGTTCTCAATGGAATCTACGATTTAATTTAGAAAACTGAAAACCACAAGCATTAACACGGTGCTAAGAACTTCAAACAAATGTCTGTAGTAGAGAACATTGTTTTTTGTAAAGACTATGCATAGCAACTAATCTCAAAGGGAATGAGAGCTTTTCTTGAAGTCATTCCTTTCAAATGACCAAATTAGTTGATTAGAGTGCATATAATTAACACGAATCAGAAATATCTTCAACAAAAGGCCTCAACACATGTAACAATGACTCATTAACAATAAACACTGAGACAGAAAGTTTTGGGTTTTTTTAGTTAACTTTTCATGTTTGTTCCAGTCATTACAACAAGCCTCCTAGACTCCAAATTATAACCCTTCTGTAACTTCAGTATTAGACAGGCTTATCAACTTATTAACAGCAAATATATCTCTTCTTAGAGATAGAGTCTATTATGGCCCTAAGACAATGATGTCTAATTGAAAGAATCCTTTCTACTACAGTAACAAGCATAAACTACTCAAGGGATTTAGAAAAGCAGTTAGCCTGCATGAGTTCAAGAAAAAGTTACTTCAAAAACCCTGTACTTGCTGCAAATTCTATTTCAGATTGTGTTAAGCTGAAAAAGAATTTTTTTAACTGCTGCTCAAGAGATAAATTATTACTATTCTCTTTGTCGAGCAATTCAGAATTGTATGTTTCACTTGTAGTTTGTCTGACTTATAAACATTACTACTCAGGACACGAAGGGACAGTATGGCTATGATCTCCTATTCAGAAGTAGAAAATCAGTATTAAATGAACATAGATACTATACATACATAATCACATGTTCCATGATATAATGCTGTGACAGCATGAGTTAACACTTGATGCATGCAAAACCTTAGCAGTGTAGATCTGGAAACAGACTGTAAGTAATTCTGCAACTTACCTCAAGATCTATCATGAGTTCAATGAACCTCTCACAATAATGAACTTTGTCCATAGATATAGGACCTAGATACAAATTAAAAACTGTTAAACAAACTAGCAAACCAAAATGGCAATTGATCCACACACACACTATTTGCATTTGAATTGTTCTAAACATAAAACAAAAAGCTGCTAGCAGATCAGAATTAGACTTAGTAAGATCAGAAAATTTATTAATACACTTTTCTCTTATTCTGAAACAATTCTTTCCTTAATTCCAAATCAGAGGATCTTTTAATAAAGAAAGTAATGGAATTAGGCTTTCAGAAGTAACTTTATTCACTCGGAAATGGACAACCAGTCTAATAAAAAGAAAAGTTTGCTCAACCTTCAACAAAACACCAATAGCCTACTGCCTGTGAATGCTAAGCTTCTTAAAAACATCGCTCGCTTTCGTGCAGACCTTGATTGCAGTTTTTAAAAACTTTTGCAATATTTAAAGGCGATTAAAGGTGAATCAGGTGAAGATAATAATTTTTGCCTTGTAATGGACCGTGTGTGTCTGGTCAGGCAAAGTGAGATAACTTTAAACCACTATAAGCTCATAAAAGCACTCCTTGCTCCACTTCCATAAAATCTCTTTAGTTTAAAGATGGGAGGTATGTAATATAACGAGTGTGATTAGTTGATCCTGAGCCTTCACTGGACCTATTACTGTGTTACTGAAGTATGGCCATCCTGCATCAATTGCATTTAAATATGATCACACTAGAGCAAGGGCAGCACGAACTGTCTTGAAGAAAACTAAGGCGGCTCTTAAGGAACCTTCAGAATCAAGTCAAAACAGAACTTTAAGTCTGTTTTAATGAATGCATCTGTTTTGTAAAGCCTCTGTGTGATTGTTAATATATATTTTATTGTAAAACTGGCCTTGCATAAATGGGAAGACACAGCTGGATATCCATTTTGAAAAAGAAAATAGAGAATTCAGTTCAGGTAAGAGCTAAAACTTTCTAAGAGCTCAAGAGCAAAAACAGAACAGGAAATGATTTTGCCCAAACTACACAGCACTGGTAGTATAATAAACAGTAAGGCGGATTTTTTGTTTGTTTTTAAAGGCTAACACTTTCCTGTACTAACAATTCTCCTGTCTAAATCAGGCAAGTACATAATTTTCTTGTCATAATGACTCATAAATAAAGAGCAGTCAAATCTTACAGAATTTCACTCTAGGGTTTTGTTCTTACCATAACTCAAAAAAGTACTGACAGAATAGAGCATTATGATATGCATTTATAACACCTGTTCAACAAAGCATCTAAATGTGCACTGAAATGTTTTAGTGCTGTAAGAAGCATGTAAGCAGACTATGATGATAATTACTACTCAACTTTTTTTTTTTTTTTAGTTAGCAATAGAACAGAAGCAAAGGAGTTCTGCTATTTCAGTTCTAACTTTGACATCAGATCCACAGAAATAGATTTTTCACTAAAAAAAAATCAAATCATATCTCCAACTCTCCATTCCTCCAACTATGGAATAGTTGCTTCAGCAGCAGATTCAGCAGCAAAGAATTTAAGACAGATTAAAAAGACACAGCAAAATAACATAGACAACAGTTACCTGAGACAGGTATTGATTTTAGCACAGAAATGAATTTCTGAATAAGCTGTGAAAGAAATCTTCTCTCCCGATATGCTCTAAAATCAGATATATGACAAAAGAGTTAGTAACACTTAAAAGCAGACTAGAAGTTTATCCTATCTTTTACTAGTTTTACTGCAGTAAGTTAACTGCAGTAAAATTTATGCAAAGATAACTAACTAAACTGTTTGGATCATAATTTGTTCTTACCATTAAAGGAGACACTTTAGCAGAGCCTACATTTTTAAAAACCACACACAGCACCAAGCTGTCTACCATACAAGTCTTCCATACAAGTCAAAGTGTGCCACAACCTGCCCACACAGCTGCACAGAAGTATTTGGAAGAGCTAATTTTAGTAATATATACACAAGCTTATTTGAATAATTTATTAGCTATCTGTATATGAGTAAAATTTTTGATCAATGTCAGTTAAAAAAGAACATGAATACCTAGATATTCTCCTGTGACTTTCATCCTACAGCTTTAACATTTAATGTCCTAATTAAACGGTTCAAATAAAACACAATAGTATTTTGCATGAAAACTCTTGAAAAACAAAGCAGTTTCCATGAGACTACAAACGATCGATCCCTCATTTGCCATTCTTTTTTTTTTAAAATATAGTTTTTAATACTCAAAGTTTTGCTTAGATAAATTACAATGAACACATGGACAGCTTTTGATTCAACAGAAAAAGATTTTTCTGTAACGTACTGCATTCTTGCTTTTTCGTCCATTTTCTCATCATTTTTCTTTATGAGATTCCAGAATTTTCTTAGCTTTGGCGTCTTTTTCAGTTCCCGTTCCAGACGTTTCTGAAAAAGATAATTATTCAGACATGAAGAATCTTTGTTCTTACACAAGTGTAATCCACTTTCCTTATTAAGGTGTAACAACCTGAAATAAATGCCTTTCTCAGACTAATCTAAACAGATAGCACTGAAGAACAAGAATGTAATACTGACAGACAGAGCTAACTCAAATATTTATTAGCTGTGGCCAAACGGTCTACTGGGTTATTGGAAAGCAACTCTATTCCAAAATTAAACTTTTTAATATAACATACAATAGTGAAAGTAGTTACTTTAATATGGAGAATTTCAACAGTGATATAGAAAAACATGACATGAAATTTTGCCTTATTTTTCTGTATTCAAAACAAAATGGCTCATATGAAAAAAATCACATCAAATAATTTCTCCTGGAACTAAGGAGGTATCATTATACTGCTACAACTAGTTCAAACCTATAAGTAAAGATGAACCGATATGCATGCGGATGTGGAAAAACAGGCATAGAAGAAATCTATATACAATCTAACATTATACGCTTGTTAGCGATAAGCAGCAGCCATAATATATTAAAAACCCCTCTAAGATACCTCATTTCATATTGCATTAACTCTACAAAATAAACTTATATCTTACAGCTGTATGTTTTCGACATACAAAGCATATGAAGGAATCAAACCTACTATATTCTCACATTTCAGTTTCAATGTGCTTGGATGTTGAAGCCTTATTTCTTTTTTATTTCCTAGATTTTAAGTCATAGGAAATTAAAAAAAAAAAAAGAATCAATCTTCAACACATGGGAACACACTGACTTGCACACAGATCTAGTGTTGGCAAAACTTTTTTCTGCCACGAGAAAGTTTCTGCTAACAAGCAGAAGAGATTTACCTAGTAGGCTCACCCGAGAAATGATGACAAAATGAATAGTTTGTCACTTGGGTGCAGAGATTTTTGCACCAAGAATAAGTACAGAGGTTCAATAAATTCAAATTCTAGTTCCGAATAACGTTTATATGCATCAGCAGGGCACCCAGCTCCTTCTCACTCCCTCAGTCCCACCATATGAATCAGTCTCAGCAGTCTTTCTGTATCCCTCCCTTCTCTTTTCCAGTGTTTTCTGTTTCCACGTAAGTTCAATTTCCCAACCCCTGCTCGTCTTACAGACCTCGTCTGTAAGTTACAACCTTAGAGGAGCTATCACGAAACTAACAGGAACAATTAATGAACAGGAATACAATTACATGAAAATTCACAACCAACCGAAAGGATAATTTTATCAGATATACAAAAATATGATTTTTTTTTTAGCACTGAAGAAAGCACTGTATTTGTCTTCCTCAGCAGCCAGCACACAATTTACATTCCAAGTCTCACATACTGTCAGGAAGATTGTTTTGCTCGTTTACAGTGTTGTGCTTACAGGTTGCAGAGCCATCCACATGGGTAAAGAAATGAGTTGCTGCACCTGGCCTCTGATCAAGTCCACTTCCTGTTAAAAAGTTACAGAGAAAAAAGGAACTTTCAAATATCTTAAATTTTCTCATGTGCCTGTCTTGCATGTGTATTTTTACAAAATAGATCGATGTGAATTACCCTCTGAAATGATATCTACATCGCTTCATTAGACTTTGCAGGACTAACTTTGCATTAGACTAACAGGAAAATGCATAGTAGATCTACATCGCTTCATTAGACTTTGCAGATTTCCTAACAGGAAAATGCATAGTACTCATATCCAATAACTCCAACTGTTGATACCTTTCTCATCTTGGGTTCCTTTCATGGATTCTGTCAGTTTTTAATACTTTGCCTGGAGTACCATTCACACAAGCGTTTTAGCACAGAAAGTGATGAGAACCAATGTTACTTATTCAGTCATTTCTCATTCTCATGCTAATTTTTCTTACTATGTTTTCTGTATTATTTTACTCCGCCCTTTCTCTCTTTTACCCTTTACTCATCAACATTTTCCACATGAATGACTTCTTAAAACTAACTCAAAAGAAATGCAGATTGACATATTACCTAAACCTCATTTTAAAAGTGAAGTAGTTACTATGTGTTCCTCAATATATAATGAAAATAATTTCATGCATTTTTCAACCAACTCAAAAAGAGCAGAGCAGCAAATATTCAGCTTTTAAGGGTAATATACTATCTTAATATAAATCTGAATGCAATGCCTTTAAATTGCACTTAGCAGCAAGTGTTGCTCCATCAGATTTTGAGTCTCTCACTTTTATGACCCTGTACCACTGCAAAGTAAATGTGGTGAAAGAAACAAGAGTTAAAAAGAGGGGTAAAGGACCTCTCTATAAAAAAAAAATCTGAAAAATAGAAACCTTCATTGGTCCCTTTCCTAAGAACAAGTTAATCAAACTAAGCACACAAATGCACGGCCACTCTTTATCTGGAACATACCAAACTACTGAAGCAGTGATCAAGGAAAAGCAGTAGGACTGTCTGTTCATGTAGAGAGAATTCACTGTCACTTTCAACCAGCGATTCTTCCAGGATGCATTTGAAGAAGAAGGGAAAGTGTTCTGGCTTTTTTTTGAACGTCTAGGAACAGAAGAGGTAATTCATTTTGAGCCAAGCTCCTACACATTATTTCAATTTTCATTCACATAACATAGCTTATGTATTTTAAGTCCATTTAAATCTCTGAAAGGAGGGACTTTTTCATTTATTCTTTACAGTGGTCAGACAGCACAAACCAAACAAGACTAAATAGTACTCTCCTGACATTGGACATGGGGATCCTGACATGGATTATGGCAAAATAATTGAACAGTTCATTAACTGACAAAACTGAGCAGGTAGAAATATCAGTTATTAATTACAAATGTGGAACTAACCCTTAATTATGTCAGGGTTCCCCTCTCAACACACACACACACACACACAGAGAATAACTTCACAGGCAGCCACCTGCCAAGCAGAAGATTTAGCTAAGGTGCATGTACCTGCCATTTTGCTTCTGGTTCCCATGCCATAACAAAAAAGCTGTACAGAATCTCTCCAGGTCATGCATGTAAGTTACTAATCCTTTTTACCACTGATATAATGGCAGTGTTATCATAGTGAGTGTGCTTCTGAAATGACACTCATTATTGCATTTCTATCTAGCTCATGTGGAGTCGGCCTGTGCGCACTGGGCCAATTATCTTTGGATCTACTATTATACAAAACAATACACACAGAAGTCACGTAAGACATTATTTTAGCATGGAATTTCACACAAGAAAGCTACAAAATCATACTTGCAGCTTTAAAGCACGACGTTATCAGATAAATAGAATAGCAGACTTCCCGTGATACCTTTATCTCCATAGATATAAACAAAAAAAACAAACAACAAAAATAACATAGCTTCTTTTAAATTATTCCAGCAAAATAATGCCTCTCCAAATGCCAGACTTGTCAAGTGCCTAAAAAAGCAAATGCTGTTGATACGTAAGGGCATCACAGCAGAACAGAGGATTCACACAGTAAAAGGAACCAGGTGATCTCTCGTTTGACCATTGTTTTCTCAAAAGAAGAACAAACTATTATTTAAAATGCCATGACAGAAATTTTGGATAAGGTACCACTTCATTTTAACACTACAAGATCTGCTACTTTCCGTCCGCTTAAGTAAGTGCACTGCAAAAGCTGCAACTTGTGGATCAAAGTCAATTCCAGGTATAATTGAAATCGGTTACCTCCCACGCTGGGACATTCTCTCTGAACTTCTCATTCACCATACAGCAGATTGACATTAAATATGCCTTACTGGACACCTCTGGAGAATAATTCATCCATAGGTAATTTTCAAGATACTGGCTGTGAAGAGACAAAAAATGTTTCATTAGTTTCTGCCACCCACATCATCTGTCACTCAACTGAAAAAGCAGTTATCCACAGGGTTTTCTTCCTCCTCCTCAAATCCATCTTTTTGATTTGTGAGTAGTTCCTGAAGTTACCTCTCATCTAGGTCACTGCAGCAAAACTTGTTAATGGTTGACTAAAGAACATCACAGGCGGCACTTCACCGTATAAGATGCAAACATCAACTTTGTTAAGAGAAAATTCACAGCATATTATTTTACAGTATTTCTACTACATGCATTTTAGAATGATAGAATCATAGAATGGTTAAGGTTGGAAGGGATCTCTAGAGATCATCTAGTCCAACCACCCTGCACATGCAGGATCACCTAGAGCACATGGCATGAGACCATTTTATTAAAGAAAACTAGGAACCACCTAGAGAGATTTTATGCTTATGAAAATCATTAAAAGCAATTAAAGTATTACCTCACAGCATAACTAAACAAAGCATTATTATGGGAGTGATTAAATGATTTTATTCAAATCTCTTTTTCCCTAAGTTTAATTGCCTATAAAGTCAGAGTGAACAACTAGACAGTGGGAAACTGCAGTTTCCCAGCAATGAGACTTTTTTTTCTTCAGTAATATGACACTTTTTCACAGGAAAAAGCTCTAAAATTACAGTGCAGAGAGGAGAGAAAACTTGGAGCAAGTGTGTCCCTTCTTAAGCTATCTATGCTGGCCAGCTACTCCTGGAGAGGTAATCCATAAATCCATCAGCTACAGTGATATCCTTATGCCTTGTGCTAATTTAACATATAGCTGCCATCAGAAAGAGGATGATCCTGTTCTTTCCTAAACTTGAGACTGCCCAGGCATTCCTCCCTTTTGACACCACCTCTAGCATTCATTTGGCTGCTCAAGAGCAAATTCTTTTCTTCTAACTTGGCTAAAACAGCTATTTACTTTTTCCACAGTTTATTCTTATGATATGTTGCAATAAGGTAGTTAAACCCTTTCAGGTAAGTTCCACAGACAGTAGAAGAAAGGCAGTAAAAGCAGGGCTGTCGTCAGGAGGGACTCAGGTGCAGAACCTCAACCAGAATGGGAGGCTTCAAGGGAAGCCAAGAGACTTTCACGGGTGTGTTTGTTTACAAAACGGACACACAGTATTTCCCCAGAGCTTACAAAATTGGGTACAGTGCTTGCATCTTCCACAGGAGGGATGGGGAAAGCAAAAAAATCCCCAAAGCTTCATATTTCATTTCCCCCTAAACTGCAATAAACTTCAATACTTTTAATAAAAACAACCTTAACACCTCCCTCCCAAGTGAGAATAAACATACATGAACTCTATTTAAACCTAAAGAATAGAGAAATATCTCATATGTGTGGACAGGAGAGTGAGACTCTAAAAGGGACAGAACGGGAAAAGAAAATGATTTTCAGGACATATGGCAGTAGATGGGGCTATATACCAAAAAGTACTAGTTATATTCAACATTACATGCTGATAACATGAAGAAAGAACACTCACAGAAAAGATTAAAATACTAACTACACACTATTTCTTTGTATTATGTATTCTTTTGAATATTTTGAGTATCTTTTGTATGCGTTGCATTCTTCTGATATAAATTCCACACCACCATGCCTATCAACATTCACAAACTGTATCTTACTTCTAAACAGATTTCTTTTTAGGTGAATAAATTTATATTGATACTGTTGCAGCAAAATTCATTTTTTTCAAGTACCAAACTGGAGGTTTTAGCGTGTAGCGATAGATGAGTATACCACCCACAAATTGATTTACTGGTCTGTACTTGTTTCTCATGTTTACTTTCAGCTGTTGCTACAGAAAAGTAACTTAAAATTTCACTCCAAGTATCTTACCTGAATTCAAGAAGCATTATCTTTCTAATAGCAAATCTAAAAAGGAGAAAAAAAAATCACCAATTAACACAGAGGGGAAAAAAAAGCCTCCATGACTATCTTAGCTACATGGAAAATGACCAACCTTTATCCTTATTATATAAGGAAACCTACACCATTCATCTAGGAGGGTTTTATTATTATTATTATTATTATTATTTTCACACAAGAGCAATGGCTTGAATGCAGAAGTAACTGCTGTAACTTTCATGCTACAGAAGCTGGACGGTTCATGCATGCTCATTAAGCAATCAACAAGCTCACAGAAATTAATCCATCTGGATACTAGGTATGGAGATACCACTTCCAACAGCCATATATCACTAGAAGCTGACAGCGCTTTCTAGGAAACTATGACTAGGTAACTCGTTCCTACACACTAGCTACTACATAACAGTATCTCTTCCTATTCCCTGGAAATGGAAATTTGCTTTGATCCTACATGGCAGTTCTTACCTTACTTTCAATTTCACTTTTTCTACAGAGAAACTGTAGAATATAGCTTATTTTTCCCTCTACCATTGCAATCGAATGTATTGAGACTTATGCAAAAAAAACTACCCACAGCAAACTCTTTACTTGATCTTCCCTATATAAACCTTGGTGGCAAAAGGAGGACCCAGCTGTGACAGTTTTAACCGACAGTTTTAACAGTTTAGGAAAGCAAAAAATCATAGCCAATCCTCAGATTTTGAGCTCATGAATTTTCTTTTTGCCACACTTTGTCTTTGAAATGACATCACCAATTAAATAGCTCAAATGCACCGGAGTCATTTTTATCTGCTTTAAACATCCCAATGTATTTTAAAGCAGCTCAATAAGCATTTCAAAACATTTCAGTATAGACAACTTCGGAATACTTGGCTCTTAGTGGCACACTTACTTTGACTTGACAATTTCTTTTGTGTACACGTCTTCAATAACCTATGGGAAAGAATATTTCAAAAAGAATTTTAATAAGTTCATATATTTCATGAAATGATTAAAAACACATTCAAGCATTCTATGCACTCAAAGTTACTCTGAATTAGTTATTCTCTGCTTAATGCTATTTGGCATTACATCAAAAATGTCGTAACAGGTAAGTTTCAGCTCTGAGGACACTAAACACTCCACTGTCAGATATTTTCACTAAAAAAATTCATTGGCTAAGAGGAATAAAAAGCACAAGTTAGAATTTTCATTCAAATTATTCAGAAGGAATAGCCTACATCTCACTGAGATTTAACATACAAGTCAAACAGATACATAGACCTTTTTATTGTTAATCTTTGGCTTATAGCTGAATTTAAAGGGTAGTCTTGAAGAATTAGGTTTTCATCAATCCAGCCACTGTTTCTTGTAACTGACCAAATCCAGACTATTTTCCCTATTTTTTTCAAATAGGACTAAAGAAGGAAAAAAAAAAAAAGGGAAAGAATTTATCCCATTACCCAGTGCAGCAGTCACACTCTGGCAGCAAACTCACAGTCAGAGCTGTAGTTTACCTGCTACCTACACTCTAGTTCTAACACACAGAGGCACAAATATTACCACAAATACTATAAAGAAGGTAAACCAAGGCAAGAGGTAAACTGGGCCAAATATCCACAAGGGAATGAGAACTAACATTTGAGAAGTCTGCACTACCAAAACACAACAGAGAATTAGGTCAAATTTTAAACATTCAAAACACAGATAACCACCAATGCAGCAACTCGCTTGTCTGATCAAAACCCTCTGAAGAAGTTTTTAAAAGAAACTTTTTAAAAGTTTAGTGTTTCCTACATATTTAGTCCTTCTTTAACTGCTGAAGATCTCAAATATCTTCGTCACTCACAGATTCTCAATTACAACAAACATAGCAGAATGCAAAAGACGTGCATTGCTACTGCACACCTTCAGAGCAGTATCTATGCTTATAAACCACAAACAACTTAACAACCTATATTAACAGTGTGTTAAGCAACTCTTGACTTTCCAAGCAGTCTCTTATACCCTTATAAAACACAAGCATCGGTGAGGGGGTTAGCAGGGCAGAAAAATGTAATTTCTCATTCTTTTACAGCAAGGTACAACAGCAGTAAAAGTATTTACCTTTGGATCAAAGGACAATTTCTTCTTCACGTGAGGAGCCCAATATTTATTTGCTAACTGTAAGGAAAAAAAGGTTCAAAATAGGTTAAAAAATACATTTTCAGTTTATGTCTCTGTAACACACCCAAACCCAGAACTTTATTTCACTAGTTTCTTGCTTACTTATTATAAGTTGAAAAGTTGAAATTAAGTATCGCATTATGTTTACCAACAATAATGATTTTAAGCTACTGAAGATTCTGTGCCTGCACGTTTCCAATAAAGGGATAATTCCTCACATTAAAAATAAAATCAGAGGCAGAGATTGCTGCATAATACACAGAAGCCTCCTCTTCTTAGTTGCCCTTTACCAAAACTCTAGACCATATACAGCGAGCTTTCCGGAGGCCGCAAACCCGACTGGAAACCCTCTTTTGAAGTAGGCAATGCCGTAAGGTAAGTTGGAGGGTCTGAAGGAGGAAAGCAGCAGCATCAGCCCCCCAACACACTGAACTACTAGGAACTCTGCAGCTCTGCGGGCCCCGCAGCAGCCCTCGCTCATTCAGCACCCAACAGCCCTCCTCACTTTCGGGCATCCTTTCCCGCCGGGACACCCCCCCGGCCGCCGCTTGATCCCCCCGCCCCGCGCGGCCCTGACGCTAC